ACATTGATGACAACTACTCCTGTCCATGGCAGCTGCTGGACCGCGAGATCAAAGCGGTGAGTATCCAGGTGGACCTCAAGACCAGCGTTTCTTCCCTACTTCTAACCTTAATGTTCCTCACCACTACCTACAATAGAAGCTCTGTGGTTTCCAGCATCACTCCCAACACCCAACAGCAGGATGAAGGATGCTGGGACTTGTAGTTTAGCATCATCTGGACCACTTAGGTTGGAGAACATACAGGTGGTGCTTGATTGGCAGCACTTCATTTAGAAAGAGGGAGGAGGGACAGAGAGAGAAGGGGGGGAATAGGAGAGGGAGAGATGAGAGATAGATAGATGAGAGAGAGATAAATGAGATAGAGATAGNCAGGGGGTGGAGATGAATAGATGTGGCAGAGGAGAGGAGAGCAGTGGAAATCTATGGGCCGGTCCTTGGGACGGGAGAGTCACCGCTGCTAGCGAAGCCCCTCCCGAGCTCCGGGGATCAAAGGCAGGGGGTGGAGATGAATAGATGTGGCAGACAGCTATTCATCTCCCAGACGGACGGACTTGTTAGCCTGTGGTGAGGGAGAAACGTTTTGCCGTCGTTCCTCGTAAAGGAAACTTTGAGTTCACTTCAAAGGGTTTGGGGTGTTTGGGGAGCTGGGTCAGAACGTGACCTCTTGGTCTTTGTGGAACCTCCTGGAGTTCAAGGAGCTCACCTGTCTGTGGGAAGCCATCTTCAGCCAACGGTTGTGGTTGACCAAGCTTCCAACTCTCATGTCTTTGGGGAAGAGGATGGCAGGGACAGGCAGAGCGTGTGGCTCCTGGTTCATTGTCTTGCTCCAACCTCCCTCCCTCCCCCCCCGAAGACCCTAAAAAGATACATGGACTTCATCTCCCAGAATTCTCCAGCCACCTGAGGAATTTTTCCCAGGCATCTGAGGAATTCTGGGGGTTGAAGTCCACAAGTCTTTAAACTGCCACGTTTGGAGGCTTCCCGCATTACAACACAGTTGGTCGGATTAGAGCAGTATTGGCGAACCTTGGCCCCTTTAAGATACGTGGACTTCAACTCCCAGGATTCCCCAGAAGTCCAGGTATCTTAAAGGGGCCAGAGTTGGCCCACACTTGTCTAGGCAAAACATGGGGCAGGAAGTCACTTTCCTTGGGACCTTCTGGTGGGAATCGGGAGGCCTTTTGGGGATGACGAGTGAGGTGGGGCTACAATGAGGCCATCTACCTCTCTTGGAGGAGAGGTGGATGAGGAGGAACCCCACTCCCCCAAGGCTGACCCTGGCTAGATACCTCAGCAATGCCCCTTCAGCTGTTGTGCGTGACCCCTCTCAAGGGCTAGGAGGCGCCTGCCCATCTATGAAGTTGACACCACCAAGAGATATTGGTCCTCCTCAAAAGACCGAGAGGCGGACCGAAGGAGGGTGACCCTGGGAGGGGGAAGCTGAAAGTCCCAGCGGGATGATGGGGATACGCAGAAGAGTCCACGGTGGTGATTTCTTCCCCTCTCGGCAGTCCCCTCCCTACAGCTCCGGCAGCTACGATTCGGTCAAGACGGAGGTCAGCGGATGTCCCGAAGATCTGACTGTGGGCAGAGCTCCCACTGCCGACGATGACGATGACGACCACGACGATCACGAGGACAATGACAAGATGAACGACTCGGAGGGCATGGATCCCGAGCGGCTAAAGGCTTTCAATGTACGGACCGAGAACGGTCACGCGGTGATAACCAGAGGTTTGGACTGGTTCGCCTGAACCGGTCGTGGAAATCGCGGGGTGGGTCCGCCCAGAGGTGGGATTCAGATGGTTCTGACCGGTTCTGGAGAACCGGTAGTGGAAATTTTGAGTAGTTCGGAGAATAAATACCGCCTCTGGCTGGCCCCGCCCCCATCTATTCTGTGCCTCCCGAGTCTCAGCTAATTGGGAAGGAGTGGGGATTTTGCAGTATCCTTGCCCTGCCACGCCCACCAAACCACGCCCACAGAACTGGTAGAACTGTTTATTTATGTCTTGTCTGTCTGTCTGTCTGTCTGTCTGTCTGTCTGTCTATTATCTATCTATCTATCTATCTATCTATCTAGCTAGCTAGCTATCTAGCTAGCTATCTATCTAGCTAGCTATCATCTATCTATCTATTTATCTATCTATCTATCTATCTATCTATCTATCTATCTATCTATCTATCTATCT